CTAAGATTCATGAACTTCTATCGTCGCTTCATTAAGGATTTTAGTCTGCACTCAGCCCCATTAACCTCTTTGCTCCGAGGTGAGCACAAGTCCCTGTCCTGGAATTCCAGCGCCCAAGAAGCCTTCGCACAGCTCAAGACCGCCTTCAGCACGGCCCCTATCCTTCGTTATCCCGATCCTCAGGTCCCGTTTGTGGTGGAGGTGGACACATCCTCCACTGGAGTTGGGGCCGTGTTGTCACAACTGTATGGTGAGCCTCCACGCCTCCAGACTTGCGCATACTACTCCAAGAAACTGACCCTAGCGGAGCAAAACTATGATACTGGTAACAGAGAGCTACTCGCTATTAAGCTGGCTCTGGAAGAGTGGCGGCACTGGCTGGAGGGAGCTAATAATCCCTTTACCTTTGTTACTGACCACAAGAACCTTCAATATCTCTGAGATGCAAAAAGACTCAATCCTCACCAAGTCCGCTGGGCGCTGTTCTTCAATAGGTTTCACTTCACCATCACTTACCGGCCTGGCAATCGCAACTGTAAGGCGGACGCATTGTCATGTATGCATTCACAAGATTCACCCTCAGAAACTGAGCAAATTCTCCCTCCAGCCCTGATTGTAAGCCCCACTGTTTGGAACATCGACAAGGACATCCAAGCAGACATTCATTTCCCACATTTGGAAAGTGTTCTTTCGACTGCTAGGGGTCACAGTGAGCTTGTCCTCCGGTTATCATCCCCAGACTTACGGCCAGACTGAGCGCAAGATCCAGGAACTCGGGCATTATGTATGCACAAAACTCCCTCCGATGAAACTCCACCAGACTCACGCCTTTCCAGTGCATACTGGTTTCGAGCGAGCAAGAGAGTGTGGTACTCAGCTCATGTCCACCTTCAACGTGCAGTGCGGAGGCACAAAACCTTTGCTGATGCCCGGCGTTCCTCGACTCCCACTTACCAGCCTGGAGAGAAGGTATGGCTGTAAACTCGGGATCTGCCATGCAAGAAGCTGAGTCCCCGTTACATCGGTCCGTTCCCGATACAGAGGCAGATTAATGAGGTCACCTATCAGCTCCAACTTCCACCCAGGTACAGAATTCACCCTACTTTTTACGTGTCCCTCCTTAAACCCTTCTCTCCTTCTGCATAAGAACCCACGATACCAGATGAACCTCCTCCTCTAGAGATCCTAAAACAGCCATCCATCTATCAGGTCATGGATATTCAGGATTCGTGGCGGCGGAGAGGCCGGCTGGAGTACCTGGAAGATTGGGAAGGGTATGGACCAGAGGAAAGATCCTGGGTGGTCTGGGACGATGTTCTTGACCCCATACTCCTAGAAGAGTTCCATCGGACCCATCCGAATTGTCCCGCACCCAGAGGCCGTGGTCATCGCCGCTTGAGGGCGTCAGGAGTCACCCCTGGAGGAGGGGGTAATGTCAGCGAATCACCACAATCACCAGCCACAACTTACACCAGACAACGCTCACCTGAGTTCTGATTCCCCGCACCTGTCGTCTGCAATCAAGTCACCATTCAACAGCACGCTCCTTCCAGTCACTCACCGTCCGGTCTACCATTCACTACACTGAACTTAACCAGACTCTATGAATGTCTACGTGGTTCTTCGTGTGTGCTCCTGCTTGCCCTTTGTTACCCCTTGGATTTGTGTTATTAAAGACCAGTGTTTGAGTTACTCCTACGTCTCTGCGTTCCTTGCTCCTCACAGTAGTGCATCGTGACAACAACATAGTATAATTTTGCTGAAATTTCACCACAGGTACTTTTTTCAGTGAGCTTGGGTTGTGTTTATTTATTATTTAGGTAATTTCTCAGAGAATAATTCTGATTGATCAATAGCATCAATATTTTTGGTATAATGAACCGCTAAACTGATTATTTGTCTGAAGCAGTGTATTTGTGCATAGCTGTGATAGTTTCATGGACATTCATGAGGACGTTTTTCAGTTATTTTTTTCTAATATAGTGAAGTCAGATACACACACACACATGCTCACTAACCCTAACACATATAAAACCCTGCCTGGAAAAAAAAAATTGATGCCAAATGTATTTATTTATTTTTCTTCATTAGTCTTACAGTATGTTCCCTGTGTTGACTGTAAGTCTGACAGAGCCAAGTTTTTCAGTTTTTTATTTACTGAAGTGCCCAGAACAGTTGATTCATAAGCGTTGTCAAATAAGACGAATGTTCTGGAAACGTTTCAGAATAACAGTTGCTGAGCCAGTTGTTCTGAACCGCTGTGTGTGAAGCTAAGCAAACTGCCGCTGTGTGCCTCAATGTCATGCTGACTCACTGTAAATCTGTCTAGTAAATAATTAAAAAAGACTATTCATTGAAAAAATCAAACCACTATAGTTGTGGTAGTAGGCAGTGAAAGAATTGTCCTTCTCTCAGGAAAGGTGTGTCTGGAATGAATTGTGGGAAAAGAGATTGGTTACCCATTAGATTACTATATGGTCATAATAAGTCTGAGGTTTATTTATGTAGTGTGATACATTGCAGATATTTGGGTGAGTCAGTTATTGATTTCTTAAATATGTATTCAGTTTTTTTTCTCTCTTCAGACTTTACAAGCACTATTCATGCTTTGATTAACAGTTATTAAAAGTGCAACTTCACTTGCATGACTCATGAGATCTCAGAAACACTTCATTTATCAGCATCTCATATTAATTTTTTTTCAACGTTGATTCAGAAAAGACACATTATTGGGGTTTCTCCCCAAATCTACTCCGGTTGTTCTGAACCGCTGTGTGTGAAGCTAAGCAAACTGCCGCTGTGTGCCTCAATGTCATGCTGACTCACTGTAAATCTGTCTAGTAAATAATTAAAAAAGACTATTCATTGAAAAAATCAAACCACTATAGTTGTGGTAGTAGGCAGTGAAAGAATTGTCCTTCTCTCAGGAAAGGTGTGTCTGGAATGAATTGTGGGAAAAGAGATTGGTTACCCATTAGATTACTATATGGTCATAAGTCTGAGGTTTATTTATGTAGTGTGATACATTGCAGATATTTGGGTGAGTCAGTTATTGATTTCTTAAATATGTATTCAGTTTTTTTTCTCTCTTCAGACTTTACAAGCACTATTCATGCTTGTAAAGTCTGAAGAGAGAAAAAAAACTGAATACATATTTAAGAAATCAATAACTGACTTCACTTGCATGACTCATGAGATCTCAGAAACACTTCATTTATCAGCATCTCATATTAATTTTTTTTCAACGTTGATTCAGAAAAGACACATTATTGGGGTTTCTCCCCAAATCTACTCCGATGTGTGTCTTTTGTTCTGGTGTGATGGCAGCAGTGTGTGTATGTCAATAATTGATTTGGTGCAGCTGGCTGATGGGTGTTGGAAACAGGAAGACACCCGCTGATGAAATAATCTGTCAGATCCTCTTCATCAGAAAGCCCCAGTCTCATTTATGAAAGACTGATAATTACGGCATAATTAATGTAAAAGGTTTTTCCTGTGTTTAGTCTTGCTACCAATCTATGGCTCTGTTCCAAAATCGTCTATGGTAGCATATATTGCTCCTCGTGTGAACCTCGAGAAACTGGTTACACTTTATTTTACAGTATGTGAACTTACATGTACTTACTTACCTAAGGAAGTACTGGGTAATATAAGGTTCCTACATAGGTTAAGGTTAGGTTTAGAGGTAGGTTCAGCATTAGTACCTAGTTATCAGTTATTGTAATCACTATAATAAATACATAGTATGTACATGTGGAACAGGACTGTAAAATAAAGCGCGGTTACACTTTATTTTAAGGTGTCCTTGTTACAGTGTAATTATACAAGTACTGAGTAATATTAATTAACTACATGTACTTACTATATGGTTAGGGTTAGGATTAGGGTTACTTGCATGTAATTATGCATAATTAATTGTTATTATAATAGTAAGTACATGTAGCATGTGTAACAAACACATCTTAAAATAAAGCGTTACCTAAAGCGCTAATGAGAAACTCAACTAAAGGAGGTGGTCATACAGTTTTTGTTGCATTTACTTAAATTAATACGTATGCAAATGCTGGAAACGGGAAGCACAAGCTCATGTGAATTTTACTGCATTGCAAAGTTAAAGTTTATTGAACTCTGAGTCTGACCTGCAAATTCATATCACATGAAGACGTCTGACCAACAGAAGTTTGACGCCGTACGACTTCTTAGCTGAATTAAAAGAATGCAAACTTTAAATCTGCAGAATTGCAGCTTTGCATTAAAGCCGTTGCAGTATCCATAGAAATGTTGTGTACTCGAAGTCTAGTGTGACCGTGGCTTAATGCTCACAGATGATTCCAGTTAAGGCTGTTACAACATCAGATTTTCACTACATAATTATCATGGCCAATAGAATTCATGATAATGATATTATAGAAATTGATGATAATAATAATAATTCATAATAAACAGTCAAATTTATATTGATTTTATTTTTGTATATATATATATATATATATATCACAGTTATCCCCTTATGAAAATTAACCATGGTTTTGCTACACCAACCATATTTTAAACATGGTATTTGTAGTTAAACTGTGATTATACAAATGGTGATCAATATGCCAAAAAAAAAACCCAAAAAAGCATGGTTGCTACACTTTTACTATAATAAAACCATGGTTAATTTTCATAAAGTATCATCAATGCTGGTATGTTGTGACACCCCTAATTCAATGTATTTGCATATATATTTACATATATTCGCATGTCATTGCCGCAATATTCTAGTAAGTACAAAAAATACATAGCATTCATTTGAATGAACTTCAACATACATTTTTATGTGTGCTTTTATGTGTTGTCATTATGTTTTACTGACCTTGTCATAGTGAATTCTGGGATTGCCTTTTTCCACACAGGATACATGCAGTGCTGGGGTAAAATTTGGCCATTTTTTTTTTAAGTTGCTGAAAAAAATAAAATGATTCACTTCTTTTATTTTCATTTATTTCTTTGCGCAGATTGTTGATTGGCGCTCCCAGAGCCAGGGCTTTATCCAATCAGGGAGCAAACATCACAGGTGGGCTGTACAGCTGTGACATTACCACCCATCCCGATGACTGCACTCGAGTGGACTTTGACAATGATGGTGCGCAGAAAAACAAAAGTTATTGTACCAGAGATGTGACAATATCATATGAGATGTAAAGTCAGGCATGTACAGTAGATGTCTACTGACTGCTCTTTTGTTGTTTTATTGGTTTCAATACTCACTGAGTCAGCAGTACCAGGATTCTCTGATAGATCTTGAATTAATCATGACTTGGTTTCTGTTCATGGTGACTCTCACAGTTGATGCTCGTGTGGAGAATAAGGAGAACCAGTGGATGGGTGTAACTGTTCAGAGTCAAGGACCTGGAGGCAAGATTGTGGTACGTCAAGAGCATTGCTACCAATTACCTGACATCCAGTTACAGTGTCATTACTTTTATTATTTATCACACAATATCTGACACCGTACAGTATCAGCACACAACTCTAGCTTCTTTCTTTCTGTCTCAGATATGTGCCCATCGCTACCAGCGTCTGTTGTTCCCCAATACACCCCAAGAGGCGCGTGACATCACGGGACGCTGCTACATGCTCAGTCAGGACCTCAGCATCGACAGCCAATCAGACGAGGATGGGGGGAACTGGAAATTCTGCGATGGTCGCACCAGGGGTCATGAAAGATTCGGGTCCTGTCAGCAGGGCTTGGCCGCCACCTTCACTAAAGACTACCATTATGTCATCTTTGGAGCACCAGGCGCGTACAACTGGAAAGGTAGAAAAGACATTTGATGCAAAAGATAAAATGCTGTATGCTATGCATGAACACACACACACATAGATGCACTGGATAAGATTCTGTAAGGTATTGAAGACCATAAGTAATGTCTGGTTCATTCCGAAACACTAAAAAAGAACAGAAAATGTGTGTCAGATTTATAATCACAATTTCTGTCCATCATAAAGTTAAAAGGTACAGGTTATTTAACAGAAAACGTATAAAAAGAAGCAGAATCTGCGTCAGATGGACTGTGTGTGGTCTGGGTGTGTCATCTCAGAGCAGAAGTGACTCACAGATCACTGTTTTGACCTTTGGCAAGGTCTTACCTCACAGACACCTCATACTGCTATAATTGATTTATTATGATGGACTGATCCATAAAAATAGCCAGTGGTTTCACTTACATGTTTTATATGATTGGGGACCCCCCCCCCCCCCCGGCGAGGAGGAGCACTGCAACAGCTCTCATTCATCGTTTTATTAATTCACACAATTGTGAAAAAAGTACTTATTACAGAAATAATTTACTTAAGTGCAAATTGGATGTAATGTTTTCAGACACTTAATTGTGTGTTAATTGCAATTAAATTAAAATGTATCATAGTTTATTTGTATTAAATTTAGAGTTTTTTTCTTGACACACCTAAGCAGTTAATGTAATTTCATAATTTAACCATATTTCAAAGACAATAGAAGTAATTATGTAATATTGCTGAATATATTGACAAGCATGTATGTCATTTCCATTAAAACTTGTATGTCATGTATTAAAATCATTTAGTACACTAATAATATATACTAATGTCTTTACATGTGCTTTAGTATGTTAGTCAACACATCAAACCAAGTGTACTTCTTTAAAGCACAACAAAAGATTATTACAAATAATGATTTAAAATTAACCACACTTCTTTTTCACATGGGTTTGCACAAATAAAATACACATTTCTAATAACCATTATTCAATCATTTGTTTTCCTGTATCACCAAAATCTTGTTGTTTAGCACTCACCCCATCACATCCATTCTCTAGGTATAGTGCGTGTTGAACAGAAGAACAACACTCTGCTGGAAATGGGCTTGTTTGATGATGGTCCTTATGAGGTCGGGGATGAGAACCGGCTGGATCCAAATCTAGTGCCAGTACCAGCTAACAGTTACTTAGGTGAGTGTGAGAAAAATGCACAGTGCATCTGTGTTTGTGTGTGCTGTGGTCAGTAATTGTATTTTGAAGTGACACTGAATCTCGCATTTGTACAGGATTCTCTCTAGATTCCGGCCACAGTATCACAAAGAAAGGCAAACTCATCATAGTGTCAGGAGCGCCGAGAGCCAATCACAGCGGTGCAGTGGTGTTTCTGCGGAAGGAAGGCGAAGTGTCCACCACGCTCACACCTGAACACGTTCTGGAAGGACCAGGACTTGCATCCTCCTTTGGATATGATGTTGCTGTGGTGGACCTGAATGGAGATGGGTAGGCGACACAAGATCTGTTGAAAATAAAGTAACTCCTGAAAATGAGTGAGTGGATCGTGAATGGGCAGCTGAACTGTGTTGATTGTCGCTCCAGCTGGCAGGACGTTGTGGTTGGTGCACCGCAGTTCTTCCAGAGAGATGAGGAAGTGGGTGGAGCCGTGTACGTTTACATCAATAAGGCTGGAAGGTGGAAGGACGTCGCTCCTACTCGCCTGAATGGAACGAAAGACTCCATGTTCGGACTGGCTGTGGAGAACATTGGAGACATTAATCTGGATTCTTTTGAAGGTTAAATACAGGAGTTGATTTTTTAGCTTTGGATGCAAAATAATGAATTCTTTTGGCTTGTTCAGGTTATTTCATATTCTTCCCGCTTGTATCTCAGATATTGCAGTAGGTGCTCCTTACGCAGACTCAGGGTCTGGTAGCGTGTACATCTACCACGGATCTGCTGACGGCATCAATGCCTCACCAGCTCAGGTTAGACACTCTCCACTGTCTGTCTCTCGGTTTGCTCTTCTGTCTGCAGCTTTAATGGAACATATCAGTGAGAAATTACTTGGATCAAATATTGGTGGAACCGAAAGGAATAAATGGGACTAGGAGACTCATTTTCCAGTGTTATCCTCTTTAAAAGGTTTTCCATTTTCAGCATAAAACATTGGCGAAAAAATAGATACTTACTTGATTTTATACATTAGATATTTCATTGTATATCTAAACTAATTTGGTTATGGTTCTACTTTGTTTTTGTCTGATGTAACTCTGTTGTGAACTTATACAAGATAAGAGTTTTTATATATGGTGTCTATATATGTGTGTGTACATACAGTATATATATATATATATGTGTGTGTGTATACTGTATATATAGCGTGTGTGTGTACATACTGTATGTATATATATACACATACATATACATATATACAGTGGGTACGGAAAGTATTCAGACCCCCTTAAATTTTTCACTCTGTTATATTGCAGCCATTTGTTAAATTCATTTAAGTTATTTTTTTTCCCTCATTAATGTACACACAGCACCCCATATTGACAGAAAAACACAGAATTGTTGACATTTTTGCAGATTTATTAAAAAAGAAAAACTGAAATATCACATGGTCCTAAGTATTCAGACCCTTTGCTCAGTATTTAGTAGAAGCACCCTTTTGATCTAATACAGCCATGAGTCTTTTTGGGAAAGATGCAACAAGTTTTTCACACCTGGATTTGGGGA